TGTTGTCGCTGTTGTATAAGGCACGGTAGGCTCGTGTGGTCGACGACCAAACTTCTGAACGAACGGATAAGACATCTTTCTGGTTGACGCTACGAGCGCTTGACGCAATCTGCTGTTGTTTATCTTTCGAAAGACGATAAAAGGGTACAAGAAGGGGGTTTTGTTCAAGATGGATCCAATCGCCAATCCTGTTGTCCAGATGCAGGACATCCCGACTACGAGCGACGGAAGACCCTATGCTTATGAGGAGCCTGATGAGATTTGGGATGGATTGAGGAGGACGGTGTCGAAGATGACAGGACGGTCGAAGGCGGGAAGCGAGGCGAAACAGTCTGCGCATCACGAGATGGAAGTCAGATCGCATGGGCGCACACGGTCGCATCGAACGCAGCCTATCGACGAACTTGATGAAGAGCCTGGGATACCCGTTGTTGACGCTGAAGACGATTTCCCCGAGGGTGGGCTACGCGCGTGGCTCGTTGTCGCATCGGCGTGGTTGATGCTGTTTCCTTCCTTCGGCTTCATGGTATCCATTGGCACGCTTCAGGACTACTGGGGCCAAAACCAGCTTTCGTACATGTCGGCACGTGATATCGGATGGATCCCGTCGGTCTTTGTCTACCTGTCACTTGCTCTGGGCATCTGGGTGGGACCGCTCTTCGATCGGTATGGGCCGCGATGGATCGCTTTGACAGGAAGTGTCATGTTTCTCTTGATGATCTTTCTGCTTGCTGAATGCGACAAGTTCTGGCAGATGATCCTCTGCTGTGGCGTACTGGGAGGCTTTTCTGGCGCCATGCTGACGACTACGAGTCTCGCAGTAGTTGCGCATTGGTTCAAGGAGCGACGAGGTCTTACGCAAGGCATCGCTATGATGGGTAGCTCTGCTGGTGGTCTGACGATTCCGTTGGTCTTGCGGACTACTCTCCCAAAGTATGGCTACTCGTGGTCCCTTCGCATACTGGGCTTTGTCTTCCTCTTTTGCTTCATCATCGCCAATATCCTGATGAAAGCTCGCATCCCGCCGTCTGCCGCCGCAAAGAAGAAAGCCATCATCTCACTCTCTATCTACGGCGATCTGAGGTTGAGCTTATTCACGTTGAGTGTTTTCGGGTTCGAGGTCGTTCTCTTCGGTGGACTGGGCATCATGCCTACATACGCAACGCTGAGTACGAACTTCCCGCCTGACACTGGCTTCTACCTTATCGCTGTGCTCAATGGTGTCTCTTGCCTTGGGCGCCTACTACCCGGGTATGCCGCTGATAAGATTGGTCGATTCAACACTCTATTCATCATGATCGTATTCACCTTGCTCTGGATGCTAGCCCTATGGCTGCCACTCGGTACAACATCGCTTCCAGCACTGTACGCTTTCGCAGCGCTCTTCGGTTTCGGAACAGGTTCCTGGATGGCGTTGACACCTGCATGTGTAGGGCAATTATGCAGGGCAGAGGAATTTGGTCGATACTATGGAAGCATGTACTTCATCGCTTCCCTCGCAACGCTGGTCTGCATTCCAATCAGTGGAGAACTAGTCGAAACAGTTGGACCCCAGCCCATGGTAGCTTTCTTCTGCGCGATTCTCGGTTTGAGTCTTATCAGCTTCTTGTTCAGTCGGTGGGCATGTTTGGGAAGGCGTTGGACGCTGAAAGTAAAGGTCTGAGCGATTTAACAGATGAATTCGTCATGCTAGGAAACGAGCACGCTATGATCTTACCCACAATTCTGTTGTTGAGCGGACCGAATTAGCGTAAAACAGTCCTGGTAGTGCGAACATCAAGAAAACTTCATCGCGCTAAGATCGGCCCCTTCCGGAAATTCACGATTTAGTGGAAACTAGTCCATCTAACAAATCACATGGCTACGCTTTACACCTGTCAAGAAAGGGTCTACAACTGAGTAAGTCTATCGATAATGCCTGATAGATGTCTAGCCGCTTAAACGCTGGAGCATGGTTCAAACGCCCAAAACGACGCACCATGATGGGTACCTAGGTATTCGTATAGTACTTCCCAACTGCATTCCGCGCCACCACATGGTGGTCCAGGCTCACAACAGATTTACATGACGTGCTTTGATAGCGCCGAAAAGAATTTCAGGGACGGGCGAACACAAGGCCAAGTATAGTACATAGCACCAGAACAACTTCATAGTGCGGTCCCTGACATTACCTGGGTACACATCCCCGCCACACTACCGCCTGTGCGTTCTCCAACAATACCCCAGAGCCTTGTCTCCGCGGTCACATCGTAGTCGAAGATGTTGGACCAAATCCACCAGCACGATATCGAAAGCTCACCACACATCGACCACCACGGCTCCGACGACGGCAAACCCATTCTCGAACCGCAACTCAATGTTGGTGGCCATGGGGCTACGCAGCGGCGGCTAAAGAATTATCATGTTACCATGATAGGGTTTTGTTCCGGAATTGGCACGGGTCTTTTCATCGGAACGGGGTCTGCGTATGCGAGTGCTGGGCCTGCGGGTCTGTTGCTTGCGTATTTGGTTGTGGGGAGTGTGCTTTGGTGTGTTATGCAGAGTATTGCGGAGTTGGCTACTGTGGTTTGTATTCTTTAGTGGCTGGTTTGAGTTGTAGTTACTTACTGTGATGCAGATCCCCACGGCTGGTTCGTTTCCGCATTTTGCGAGTCGGTTTATCGATCCGGCAGTTGGTTTCTCTCTGGCTATCAGCTACGGGTATTGTTATACCATATCCATTGCTGCCGAATGCTCGGCATCCGCTATCCTCGTCGGCTATTGGACTGACATGTCGCCTGCCGTTGTCATTTCTATCAGTCTGGTTCTCATCCTGGCTACCAACTTGCTGAGTGTACGTTGGTTCGGCGAATCCGAAGTCGTCGCTGGTGCAATCAAGATTGCATGCTTCCTTGGACTCATTCTGGTTTCCATCGTCATTACCTCCGGAGGAGCGCCAAACGGTGAAACAATTGGCTTCCGCTACTGGAACAACCCAGGCGCTTGGGTGGATTACAATGGCATCACGGGACCGACAGGTCACTTCCTGGGATTCCTAGCTTCGTTCGTCAACGCAGCGTTCTCCTTTATCGGTGTCGAAGTGGTGGTCATCACTGCCGCTGAGAGCATCAACCCACACTCGGCCATCCCAAAGTCGGCCAAAAGGGTCACATTCCGCATCGCCCTGTTCTACATCCTAGGCGCTCTTCTGATTGGAATTATCGTCGATCCCAGGAATCCGGGTCTCGTATCAGGCACTGGAAACGCCAACTCCTCGCCATGGGTCATTGCGATCAAACAGGCCGGCATAAGCGTACTGCCTTCGATCGTCAACGCCTGTATTCTCATCTCTGCCTGGTCGGCTGGTAACTCATACTGCTGGGTCGGATCCCGCATCATTGTCGCCATGACCACAGATCGCCAGCTTCCACAAATCTTCGGTCGCACCTGGAAGAACGGAGTGCCATACTACGCAGTTCTTGCTTCTTGGCTATTTGGACCTCTGGCCTATCTCAGTCTGGGCGAGGGAGGTGCCGCGCAAGCATTTGGATGGCTAGTGAGCCTTAGCACTGTCGCAGGCTTGATCGCCTGGGCGACATTATGTTTCTGCTTCATTCGCTTCCATGCTGCCATGAAAGCGCAAGGACTCAGCCGAGATAGCTTGCCTTGGAAGAGCCCCTTCCAACCTTTCACCGCGTGGTATGGTTTCATCGGATCTACTATCATTACGTTGATCACAGGTTTCCCTGTTTTCTTGAAGGGAAACTGGAGTACGGGCGATTTCATCGCGTCGTATATTGGCATCCCACTTTTCATAGTTCCGATCATCATTTGGAAGCTGGTGCATAAGACGAAGGTAAGTACACTGCGCTTTCCGTAGGTTTGACTCGCTAACGTGACATAGTTCGCTCGTGCTAATACTATCGATCTGCATTCTGGGCGTCTTCGGTGAGCGTGGGTTGTGCAAATTCGAGTCTTTCAATGTTAGGCATCTGCGATTGATAGGGCTGTGCGCTTTCAGGTGGGCTTTAGACCCAGAGTAGAGATGTCCAGTCGTAAATACAGATATCTTCGTTGTGCTACATGAAGAAGCCTCCCATTTTTACTACCTATGTATATGTCAATATCAAGGCTGTGTATGAAAACTTGGGGAATCAGAGCCCATAGCCAAGAGTTCCGAGATGCTCGGAATTGTCACCAACGGAACATCGTGCATCGAAGGACTGGAGTGAAATACACTAGGAGGTAGCTGCTGCTCATGTGCACCAGGTATGGTTGTAGCGAAATACTGCTGGAGCTCTCCGTATTGAAGGTCCACGACAAACATGTCTTGCGAAAGAACTTTGGCTGGTGTGATGGACACCTTGAGACTGAGGTCTGTTCTAGTCATATTTCCCGCTCGGAAACGCTGAACCTCGTGCTGTGCAGGCTTCGACGATGAAATAGCATGGAATGCTTCCAGATTCATGGTACCTTGCTTCCAGATAGCGTCATGAACATAACACCAGGGTTGTGGTTTCTCTGTCAAGGCATCATTTTTGCATCCAATGGATAGAAATATCATGTATTCAGCAGTCTGCCCTGTTTTAGTGGCGAGAGTGAAGTCCAGTTCAATGGATGCGTGCCAGGACGAAGGTCCAATGTCGTTGTCCTTACCCTGCAGGATGTTATCTTTCTCATTCCAGGCTTCTTTGGGGAAACATCTTCGTATCTTGATGCCTTCTGGAGGTTTGCGAACAAGAAATCCCCATCGCCGCCAAAAGTTGTTCGCGATGGTTGATGTACGAACGTTCCGGATGTAGATTTCCCTGGGAAGCGCCGAAGGAGGTACGCATCCGGATGGGATTAATGACACGCTAGTACTGATATCTCTTACATAAAGATCGCCAGATAAATGCAGCAAAGGGACGATTACGAAGTGCTGAAAGTCGTGAGCCACATGGCATCTTAAGATCCCCCAAATGATGTCGCGATCCGGCCAAATCATGACTGGGGAGCGAAGAGGCCGAATCATTCCGCATTCATACTTGTCGAGTTGGTGAGTGTGGAAGAGCGTTTGCCATATGCGTAGGCCCCTGTGGGTCATCGTAGAAGGGGGCACAGGATCGTCCGAAGCGAATGGTATCAGGCTTCGTGTTTCCTGGAAGTCGTTTGGAGCAGACGCGAGTACGTCTGCGTTTAACTCATTCATACGATATGAAGCCTTCCAACGGTATGGAGCCTCCCATGCAAATAGTGTCTCGTCCTCTGAGATCTTCATGATTTCTTCCTGCAGCCTTCTAAACGCCTTTATCCTCCCCTCGCCATATAGCAAAGGCATGTTGACATCGAAAATACCAAGTAGGCTGTAAGCGATGTCTTCAGATCTTGTCGCCTGTCTATCTGCAGCCCACGACATCCGCATACTGATACTCGCAATTTCCAAGCTCTGACCGTCGAGATACTCCATCGGGATGCCAGTGATCTTTGATATTTGTCTGCCAAGGTTGACCTTGGGTCCAAGAAGTTGCCAGTCGCGCGAATAGAATTTCATACCATCGTATCTACCAGATGGAAATTTGATAGGAATGAGAGGGTCGTACAAGTTATGGTCCTTATCAGGATGGAAGTTCCTGGAAGCCAGTAGCTCTTGCAACGTCCAAGCACGTTCGAACCATCTGCTGCGTGAAAAGGCGATGCGATGCCTTGCCGATTGACCTTCCGCGAATGCACCCTCGAGCTCGACATCGGCGAGATATGCATAGCACTGATCTGAGTCCCTATACCACGCAAACATGCTGTTGATAGCTTCCGAAAGTTCAGCACTACTACTCTTGTCAATGCAGCAGGTATCGACCCATACATAATGAAATCCATCTCCGATCGCGAGTTTACATGTCTTTTCAATCTTGGCAAATCCCTTCTTCTTCTTCGCTTGCTCTAGATCAGCAAGATCAGAGAAAACGACTTCTTCATCCTCCCAGCAGTGCGATAGAATGGCGTACGATGGGATACGGCCGACAAAGGTCTTCAGCTCCAATGTGCGTGTGTGTAGAAGCCGCATAATGAAAATGCTACGCTTTACGAGGGCATGCTCTAACTATCTGCGCGTTTACGAATTTTTCGAGCTCTGGGCGGTTGAGGCACGACGTTCCCCTTTGTCGTAGACGTTACATTGAAGGCAGCGAGGCGCAACAAGGCAGGCAGCCTTGGAAAGCGTTGGAGAACACAAAGGCGCTGATCCGATGGGAGTCAAACCATGGGTGAAGGGCAGTATGACGTGCAACTCAGAGGATTGACAATCGAATGATCAGGCGATGAGTGCGAACAAAAGTAACGGACGAGGAGAGTGAGTATCGTGATGAAGGAAGGTGGGGCAGGCACGGAGGACGCATGGGCCCTGCCCGCCAAGACTCTTCGCTTGAAAACGCGCAAGAACTTTGCAGAGCTCCCCTCAGCCATCTCTCACCGCACTCCGACGGCACAGCTGCGTCTCACGCGCGATCGATATATCGCGACGCGTAAAACACGATCATCATCTCAACTGCCAGAAAGCGCAGTCACAATCCCACAACTAACAGCAGACCCAACCTTTCACAGCCCCCAGCCTTCTCTGCAATCAACCAAGTAAGTCCACCACCCACCCTTCCCACACCCCATCTCGCAATGATGATCACAATACAAATCACAAGTTTCAAGACGGATCGGAGAAGGTTTCACGGCCTTTATTGAATGAGTATTTCCTGTCTGAATGAGAGATTACACATACATGTCACGTCGCTTCACTATGGTTGGGGCAGGTTGCTGACGTACATTACAGATTTCATGCGGTGCTAGATAGTAGTAGGAACCAGTGGTAGTTTATAGGTATCCGCTCAATGCAAATATCTTTCTTGAAGACTGATATTGTCTGATTGTCTCTGTGTGGTCTGTGATGATGTCTGACGAAGGGAGTGTCACTATGAATACACAGCACGTTGTGACATCGTCTGCGGAACGGCACCGCTGTATCATATCATAGACAAAAACAAGCGTCCTACAGCAAGACGAATTATAAGGCAGCACATAGCCGTGTCATCCGATGTGCTGTCTTTTGGAACTGCACACCTTTGCCGTGTGGTAGATACATGACACAAACAGCCAATGAAGCTGCAGCAGATAGATCGAAAATTTCATGTTAACTTTGTTGATCCATTCCATGTTACAGTTACATACAAGCCCAGAAAAGCAGACGAACGATACCGAAGTAAAAGCAGAACCTCAAAAAAAGGAAATGAGAGTGCGAAATCCATCCCTTATGAGCGCCTGCCACCGATGAATACATATCCTTTTTCCATTCCACCCCACCCAGTATCCATTTTTCCATGGTCGTTTCATTGTTATCCTTTGCGTCGCCATCCGTGACTATATGCATTTTGAACCTATGAGGAGATTTTCGTACCGTGTCGCGCATCTAGTCTTCTGCCATTGATGCGGTGTTCTTGGTGGTCCTGCCGCTGCGGCGTGGTGTGCCGTCAGCAGTGGCAGCCTTCTTGGGTGCCTTCTTCTTTGCGGGTTCTTTCTTCTCCTTCTTGGCACGGCCGCCCTTCTTGGGGGTAGGCTTTGTCTCGGCTTCTTCCTTGTCCTCGGCTTCATCGTCGTCAGCCTCGTCGGTCTTTGCCTTCTTCTCGGCAGGCTTCTCATCGGCGTCGGCGTCGGCGCCGTTGGTCTTATCCGCGGCTACCTCGTCAGCCTTGCGCTTGTCGCCGGCCTGGGGTTCCTCATCCTTTTCGTCGGACTTGTCTTCTGTCGCGTCATCCTTGGCCTCTTCTTTTGACTCTTCCTTCGACTCCTCCTTCGATTCTTCAGCCTTGGAGTCGCCGTTGGTTTGCGCTTCTTCCTTCTTCTCCTCACTGTCAGGCGCGTCCTTCATCTCCTCGTCCTTCTTCTCGGCTTCGGAGGTCTTCTCGTCCTCCTTCTTATCTGAGTCAGCCGACTTGTCGTCATCCTTCTTCTCTGACTCTGCCGACTTGTCCTCTTCCTTGGAGTCGCCGTTAGCGCCATCGGCCTTCTCGTCGATCTGGAGTTCGGAAGCGCGCTTCACGACATCGTTGCCAGAGCGCTCGACGTGCACAGCGGGGTTGTCGGGCGAGGCGTTCTTCTTGATGGTGTTGCCCTTCTTGGATTCAATGGCAATCTCGCCTTGGTCCTTGACCTCGGCAGCGGTGCCACCGGGCTGTCCGGAGCCCCAGTTCCATGAGACTGCTCACACGTTAGTATTGAGTTCCCGAGTCTTTTGCGATTATACCGAGAGCGACAAGGAAGACGCGCGCCGATTGGCAATCGTTACGCGCCAGTGAGCGCAATGCGCCTGGCGGGATCTCATTATGCGCAACCACTGAACGGCTGAAGGGGTCTCGGATTGAGAATTGAGAGGCACGTACCCTTATCTCCTTGTTGGATCTCAGTGTCGGTCATTGTGTGTAACGTAGCTTAGCCGTGGCAGGTGGTAAGAGATGACGTTATGGTGCGCAAAACCGCGTGTAAAGTCGCGAAAGCGGGGCGGAACAGCAATTGATGCGCGTAGAGGTGCAATGGATACGGTGATGCGTAGAAATGATGCGCAAGCAGTTGGAAGAGACGCGACGGGCGGTGTGGAAGGGAGGAGAAGAATGGAAGCCGGGAACCTGAGTGCTGGGAAAGAGCTCTCGAAGATCGGAAGCTGCGGTGCTGAGGCGTGATTGGCTGCCCTGACCCACAAACGCCAATCTGTGCAATCTATGGGGAAGGTGGCTGGCGATCGAGCCACGGCGTCATCGGCTGGTCTGTGCGCGTTCTCGAAATACATCCTTGTCGATCGCTTCCTTCACGGCATGGCATTCTGAATAGGGTTTCGAAGAGGACGAGACTACACTCTTGAGTCGGTCATTGAAGATGTCAAGCATTTTAGTTGACTGCGCTTTGCCATACCATCGTGTATTCATGTCCAGATCTTGCCTCCCATACCATGTATCACCTTGTCCATCCCGTGCGTATGTGCGTAGTCAAATGCCGTTACCAAAGCCACGAGATGACTAGCTGCCGCAAGAACAACCAAGACGTGAAAGATCTGATGGCTTGAGCCCCAAATATCATACTTCCCAGGGCTCCACTTCTCGGGTACCCTCGCAGCATAGATAGCGGCACCAGCGATATACAGTGCACCCTGCAAAAGAACCCAATCCAGGCCAATGCTCTTGCGCAGATGTTCGACACCGTACAGTTGAACGCCATGAAGAACGGGGAAGACGGCGGAAAGTCCCATGAGCACGAACATGAGCGCTCGGAAGGGTCGCAATGCGGGAGTGCGGAACTTGGGATGTGTGGCCGCGACAGATGTGCCAGCTGCCAACGTCGTGATCATGGTCCAGTACGTCCTTTGCAGTTCTGGTTCGCCTGCGAAGGCGTAGTATACGATGGGTACGAAGCTTCCCCAGATGAGAAAGACGATGCCGAGGTAGTCCAATTTGTTGCCCCAGACAGCGACTTCATGCGAGTGGTTCTGTATCGTATGATATGTCGCGCTCATGCCCAGACATGCGACAGCTCCTGCGAAGTAGCAGCTGAAGGCCCAGACGTCCTCTTGCGTAGCCGTGTCATAGCGGACAGCCAATGTGTTGTAGAGTGCGACGGAGGAGATGGCAGCCATCACAGCTCCAATGAGATGGGTGTAGATGTTGACGGTTTCGTTATGAAGATACCCGAGACTCTTCCAGGACTTGAAAAATGAGTTGGATTGAGCGCGATACCCCGATTGGATGTAGTGGTTGTCTTGCTGCCATGGCGAGAGTTCGTCCCATAGTAGTATCAACTTATCTTCAACCTTTTGCTCCAGCTCTTTCCCAGTTTGCGCGGCTTTCGAGGTTGCTTCCTTGGCTGCTTCCATGATGGGATTATCTGACGTGAATCTTTAGATTCAAATTTGAGGGGGCGGCCTGCTATATATGAAGGTTTGTTGGGAGTTCACATGTCATGAAGCGGCCTCGGAGAATCCGCGAATACCCTCAGGGACTACACGCGATCTAGGTAGACTATACCGCGTACGGTCAGGCTTGCGAGGACAACACGTCGCTTCTGAAGCAAAGCAATGACCTTGACAGCGCAGTCGCTCTCTATGAGCAATATCGTCAGTGGTCTTGCTGTTGTCACGAGGCAAGGCATTTCCGACGCGTCGAGCTCGTGCGCTGCCCCTCCATCCCACCTTCCCTTCTTCCCAGCCCTCGAGCGCGGTTGCTTTCACCACCACACACCAGGTGTCGCAAATACGCTAGGTGATATACAGCCATGATTGTTCGAGTCTTCGACATTACTTGATCTCCCGCGCTCTCGACCAGAACGCCCAACCCCACCGCCAGCGCAATGAAGTCCTCAGATCCCGGCCGACCCAGCAGCCGTCGCGCCGCCTCAGGTGCATGGAACCGGCTGAAGCCCGTCCGCGAAGATGTCCTGGAGACATACGGACTCCCTTCCAAAGGAGAGACACGGTATATCCCTCTCGCCCCATACGTCTCGACACAATGGCTAACCCCCCAGGCTGAACGACTTCAAAACACAAGAAATCTACTTCAACCGCATAATAGAACGCTACATGAAACTCTGCGCCCTCAACCGCGACGAACTCGACCGCCTCTTCATATCCGTCAGCATTCCCCCACCCGACACAACCACGACGACCAAGTCCACGACAGCGCCCACCACCAACTCCAAACTCACATCCTCCTTCTCCTCGCTCTCCCTCTCCAAACACGCACCCCCAGAAGCCCGCCAACAACCCACCACCCGCCCACCCCTCGCCTCAACCTCCACAAACACACCACACAACCCCATCCCCCAAAAGGCCTTCACGCCCTCCATCCAAGAACTTTCCACCGTCCTCGCCTCCCTGCGCAAGCTACGAGAAGCCATAACCGCGTCCTCACGCACCGATGCCTTCGCCCTGCGCGCCTACACCTTCGCCATCCACGTCAGCATCCTCTGCCACGACTGGTCCTCCTACCTCCCCTCTCTGCTTTCCCTCCTGGGGAAAATCCATCCCGTGAACCCGCTTTCGCCATCGACCCTGCACGAAGTCGTCGGCCTATTGATCCTCGACCAAGCATGTCGGCAATCCGATTACTCGGGCGCGCGCGCCACGAAACTACGGTATGGATATAAAGACTGGAGGGTGGAAAAGGTGTTGCGGTGTCTGGTCTCAGATGACTACGTGGGGTTTTGGCGCGTGAGGAGGAGTGTGGATGGGTATCAGAGGAGGGTTATGGAGTGGGCGGATGGAGGGGTAAGGGTGCATGCGTTGAAGTGTTTGGGAAGGGCGTATTTGAGTGCGGATAGGGCGTTTGTGGAGAGGTGTGCGGAGAGGAGCTGGGAGGAGTTGGTGCAGGAGGGGGTGGGGTGGGAATTGAGTGCGGATGGGGAGAGGGTTTTGATTAAGAAGATGAAGGGGTGATGGGACTTGACGGAATTGTATGAGATTTGATACCCGCTTAGTTTAGATATCATGGATTGGTTGGATTTAAGGATGAAGCGTTGAACATTCAGGGTATCATTAAGACTTTTCTATCAGACCACATCACTCATCCTCCATCTCCTCGTCCTCATCTTCATCTTCTTCCTCCCCAGCATCAGCAGCATCCTGCCAAACATCGTCGTCCATATCATACGCATCCAAAAGATCATCATCCATCTCCTCGTCCTCATCCTCCTCTTCGCCCTCACCCTCGCCAGTCTCCCCCCTAGCAGCAGCCCTCTCCTTGCGCTTCTTCTCCACATTCTCCTTCTGAACACGTCTCCTCTCCTCCTTCTCCTTATTCCTCTGTGTCCACTTCTTCTCCAACTCCTGCTCCTCTTTCTTGCTCTTCTTGATGTATTCATGCCACATGATCTTGCCGCCGCAGACATCTTCTTCGACTTTTGTGAGGCGCAGCTTCATGCGCGGGCCCAGTTCAACGAGCTTGACGGCGCGCTTCTCGACGCGGGGTTTTGAGCCGCGGGCGCGGGCGTGCGAGGTCTCGTCGCCGGCTTTTAGCTTTTCTTTTTCTTTGCGGGAGAGGACTTTTTGGCGGACGGGTTGCGCGACTTCGACTTCGGCGTCGGTGTCTTGTTCGGTGTCGGAGGCGGATGTGTAGCCGGCGGCTGAGGGGTCGAGCATGTAGTCTGCGACGTCCTGGAGGTGGAGTTAGTGGATATTCTATATGCGTTTTGGAGAGTGACTGTTTACCTCGAGCTTTCCCAGATTAGGCAGTGCGCTCTTCTTCTTCTCCTTGCTGCCAATGAGCTTCTCAGCTGCGTATAACCGGCGGATGGCTTTCGGTACGCCCGTGACTTTGGTTGTGATTGCGTAGTGTCTCAGGCTGATTGTGACGGAGCCATTCTCTTCCGAGGGAGGCTCACGGTTGAGAAGGAGGACGCGCTTGATCGAGTGTAGAGGGGTAGTGTGCGGTTGGATGGGCGGGAACAAGCCCTGGAACATGTCCGTCACAAGCTTCTCCAGATGCTTAGGAGGTGCCTTGTCGCCGAGTCGTTCTCTTTCCGCATCGCTGGTAAGAAAGTTGTTCATTACAAGCAGCGGTGCGACTAGGAAGTCGTTTGCGCCAGCCCGTGGGCGTCTCATGGACTTGAGAATATCTTTGCAGAGACTGTAGTTTTCGACTCGGAAATGGAGGGTAGGTCCGCGGGGGACGCGGCATAGTCTGAGGTTGACGTTACCGACTTCTGAGCGGGAGAAGAGGAGAAGATGGCTGACACCGAGCGGTCCACACATGACGAGGAAGTCCTTCGAGGCTGTTAGCTCAGATCATGCTGACAGCTGTGTATGCCATACCTTGAGCTTGTTCGCCCTTCGCTCCTTCAGCCGAATAGCGGTATCGGGCTCCAGGCAGTGGCGCACATCGTTCACGAGGTCTGAGACAGATCTTCCCACTCTGTACTTCGTTAACAACCGAGGCGAAAGTTACCTCGACCTGGAAAACTCACTCTTGCGCGCCGATACGAATGACCATAGATTTCGGTGTTCCTGCTATCGGCTTCTTGGAAAGCTCCTTGTCGCGCACCGACTGCTTCTTCCTCGCGGTTCCTTTTCCACGAGCCATTGCGAAGACTCAGTTATCTCTGACCAAGTTGAAGTATTGACGGGTATTGCAGATGACTGAGCGTATAATTCTTGCGCTGCGATCGCGTTCTCTACTCGAGTAAGCCAGAGGAGGGCGTTGTGGTGTTGTTGAGTGAACGAGTTCGTCGCATGCAGTCGCAAACTAGAGCTCGCCGGCTGTCGAACTTTTAGGTGGGTCCGCCAAGATTTCGCGGTTTCTTTGGTTCCAACCGCGGTACCGTGATTCTGTCGCACGACTTTTCCAGACTCAACAATCATAACCACAACATGCCTGGCGTCACGAAACGAAAGCTCCACGCGGATGCGACTACCACTGCCGGTGCGTCGTCGAAGAAAGTACGACCTTCGAATGCACCTGCGAAGAAAGTCCAGAAGAAGCCTGCACCACCACCGGAATCCGAGTCCGGCGATGATGATGACGCCTCAGAGAGAGACTCCACGGATGCCGAAGAAGCCCAAGATGTAGTAGGCGACAGCAGTTCAAAAGACGAAGCAGGGCCCTCTACCACTGCCGACACAACGAGCGAAGAAGCGCAACCCGCCGCGAACGAACCGAAGAAGACCTTCGCCGATCTAGGCGTGCGCGAGGAGCTCTGCGACGCAGTTGAAAACCTGAAATACGTACATCCGACTCCTATCCAGGAACAAGCTATACCTCTGGCTCTTCAGGGTAGGGATGTCATCGGATTGGCAGAGACGGGTTCTGGAAAGACGGCAGCGTTCGTCCTACCTATTCTTCAGTCGCTCCTAGAGAAGCCACAACCTTTGTTTGGTCTGATTCTGGCCCCAACACGAGAGTTGGCATACCAAATCGCACAACAGGTGGATGCTTTGGGTAGCATTATCAACGTCAAGTGCGCGACGTTGGTGGGAGGAATGGATATGGTGCCTCAGGCTATCTCGCTGTCCAAGAAACCGCACGTCGTAGTAGCGACACCTGGACGCTTGCTTGACCGTGAGTCACGCACATAAACGAACTATACGTGACACCCATACTGACCACATCCGCGTAGATCTGGAAAACACGAAAGGCTTCAGTCTGAAGCATCTGAAATACATGGTTCTCGACGAAGCCGATCGCTTGCTCGACCTCGATTTCGGTCCCGTACTAGACAAGATCCTGAAGGTACTTCCTCGGGAAGGACGACACACATACCTATTCTCAGCGACCATGTCCTCCAAGGTCGAGAGTCTCCAGCGCGCCGCCCTACAAAACCCAGTCCGCGTGAGCATCAGCAGCTCCTCGCACCAAGTCGTCTCGACCCTACTACAGCGCTACATCTTCCTCCCATTCAAGTGGAAGGACCTCTACCTCATCCACCTCCTCAATGACAACATCGGCCACCCGACCATCATCTTCACCCGCACAGTCAATGAAACCCAACGTATCTCTATCCTCCTCCGCACCCTCGGCTTCGGCGCCATCCCACTACACGGCCAACTAGGCCAGTCCGCCCGTCTGGGTGCCCTCAACAAATTCAAATCAAAGAGCCGAGACATCCTCGTTGCCACCGACGTCGCAGCCCGTGGTCTCGATATCCCCGCCGTTGACCTCGTAGTCAACTTCGACTTGCCAAGCGACTCTCAGACTTACGTCCATCGTGTTGGTCGAACTGCAAGAGCGGGAAAGTCGGGTAAGGCGGTGTCGTTCGTTACACAGTACGATCTTGAGATCTGGCTAAGGATTGAGAATGCGCTGGGTAAGAAGATCCCGGAAGAGGCCATCAACAAGGATGAAGCGATGGTATACGCGGAGCGCGTTGGCGATGCGCAAAGGATAGCTGTTCGTGAGATGAAAGACTACCATGAGCAAAGAGGTAGCAGAGGCGGACGCGGTGGCCGAGGTGGATCAAGAGGAGGACGCGGCGGAGGTCGGGGCAGAGGTCGCGACACGATGGACACTGAGGAGGGTTAGATGTCATGTGTCTAGGTGTGGGTTGTCGGTTTTGGCGTTTTGATCTTTTCGCGTATACCCTACGAGTTGCTTGATCCCCGACCATGTCTTGGAGAAGATGGCACCCTTGGTCAGGACCGAAAAGTTTGTGTGCTTGTGTTTTGGAGGGGGTTGTGGGTGGGGCTGGATTATGATGGATTATGCGAGCATCGAATATGATATATGAACACATCGCTTTACCGAGGAGACTTTGATGGGCTTAGCGGGTATTGTGGAGGGTATAAAAGGCGTCTTTCGGTCTCACTTCTCATGTCTTTTCCAACATCCAGAATTTCCTCTTCGTTTCCAAAAGCTGAGGAAGACTCAGAAATGATTCCAAAATATCCAGACTCCTCCCTCATGTTCTCTTCCAAAATATCAAAAACTCCCAATGATGCCTCTGCCTGCTCGTCCCATCAGCTTCTTACTTTACGACCAAAACCTTTGCGATCTTGTACATGGGATATGGCGTTTCTAAATCTCACACTGGCCTCGCATTCATTATTACGGCGTTGCATATGTAATGCTGGAAGCCCGCTATTATACATGGCATAGAAGGCACCTCCCTACGACGTCTTCTCTCTTCCTTCCACACACCCAGACTTTCTCTCCTCTTCTCAAAAAGGAGAGAGTGAAGACGATGATGACTTCCAAAATCCTGGGTTCCTTCTGCTTATGTCCTCCGCAAACCATGAAAACATTCCTGCTATGACTCCGCCTGTCGATATCTTCGGGCTCATACTTCAGCATCAAAAGATCTTTTCGTTCTCTACATAGTATACGATATCCGAATGTTTGAGTTGAGATTTGCTGAAATGACAGAACTATTCTGCTATGCGACTTTGAAAGCTCGTGACTGTGGATGGCTATATAAGCTGTTCTCTCTTGTCCATGCTTTGTCGTTCCTCAATATCAACATCTTTCTTCTCGATTACCAAAACAAGGTGACCATGACTCCATGTTTCCAAAATTCGACGACAAGCGCGCGATGTCTCGTTCTGAAAAGATGATGAAGTTTCCACATGACGCTGCCCCTCCATGCGAATCAGCTATCGATCTCGATGATAGGTTTTTGGCTATAATACGAAACAACAGTCTTCCATACTCCAAAAGCCTCGATAGAGCACACATGTGTTGTGCAGCATACGGAATAGTATTATA